AGATACTTGACATTGGAAAAGCTCTAGCAAAACAAACTACACGATCTTGTGCTATGCTTAGGATTGGGTCTTGTCCATCACGTCATTCTCCTAATGATGTGATCCCGTTGTCAATGACATCTAATGTCCATAGTCAGGAAACCATGACCCTCTGTTGACCAACGAGCTAGTCAACTAGAGGCATACTAGGGACGTATTGTGGTCTATGTATTCACACGTGTATTACGATTTCCGGATAATACAATTATAGCATGAATAAAAGACAATTATCATGAACAAGGAAATATAATAATAATCCTTTTATTATTGCCTCTAGGGCATATTTCCAACATCCGGGCACCGAGACGTAGGGCTTTTACTTCCTCCGAGAAGGGCCTGAACTCGTAAAACTCTTGTGTGCACAACTACTCCATAGCTAGGATCTTGCCTCTCCTTAGTACCCCCCTACACTACTGTCAGACTTAGAACCACGACATCCTTCGCCGCCTCAGCCCCACGTGCGGAAGAGAACTGCCGCTTTGGTGGCTAGTAGTACAACAGCGAAGAAACCCAGAGCAGGTACCAGTGTCAAGGAGGCTCCCAAGTTACTATATGATCTAACTGATGAGGAAACCAAGAAGGTTGTGGATGCCTACGTGTAATGCCATCTTGCACCGACACCGCGCAAGAAAAAGGAGAAAATATATCCGAGAAAAGTGAGGCCTGTGTGAAAAACCTTACGCGACCACCGCCGCCGCCCCTGCTATCAGACTATGACCGCTCGATTGTTAAGTTATATTGAGAACAAGTGCGGCCGGGAAGTAGTAGTGCAAGTGGGAAAACAATTCCCCATCTCGGCAAACAGACAAACCAATAGCTCCGCCCTCTCAACCTGTTTACCGATACCAATTATGATGCGGAGGCAACGGGCCATGGCATTGGTTTTACTCTTGGTCAATACTTAGGCGAGCAGGTAGAGTTCCCCATGGTTGAGTTAGCATACAGATACAAGTACAAGGAGTCTCTCGTTAAACCTGAGGAGGTCCGACTTCTATAAACACAGATGCGAAGATTGCATCAGTGGTACAACTGAAGCCTCAAAGGATTGGACCAACTATCTCATTGCGGGAGTTAAAGATGATCATTACTTCAACACACCATCGACAAAACTATGGTCAGTTTCTATTGTCTGTAAGTATCATTTCTGTAATTAAGTTTCTAGCTCAGCTCGTTCATTGCATGTATAGTTATCCTCACTATATATATTATGCAGAAAGAAGATCCTCTAATGTAAAAGAGGACAAATCTATGACATTGGGTTCATTAACCCAAATACAGTTTATGAAGTGACGGTAGAAAAGAACGCCGAGGATATAGAGAAGATCTTGCTAACGGCGTTAATTGAACAACAAACCAAAAGGGAAATATTTTTTCCTTACAACTTCAAATGAGTGTTATATTGTATTTTACACATTCTGTTTCGCTAATTACTCAATGTTAAGTGTAATTGATTAGTTATGCATGCGCAAGTTCCACTTTATTCTTCTAGTCATTCAATTTGACGCAGGAATAGTTCTTCTCATGGACTCGAAACGCAAAGACATGGAGATGTGGGCGACCTACAGAAAATGCTCCAGAGGTAATTTCAATCATTATCGCACTATATTGGCAACTTTCGTTCATTTCCTGATATCATTTATTTAGTAACTCCTTTATATATTCATTTTCTTTGTCGGGCATGGTTTGAAAACGTTCACCAAGAAGGCTAGGGGTGAATTGAAAGAGGAGCTGTGATTTGAATAACTCAATGAAAGTAGTACTAGCTAGGTCCGCGCGTCTCTATGATTCTAGTTTCAATATCATTATCATGCTTGATTATTATTTTGATTGAACTCTATTATCATATAGTCCCCGAGGCAGGGAGACGGGAATACCTTACGGAAAAACTAACGCCCACACGTGTGGGCGTTTGCACATCGCCCACACGTGTGGGCGTTTGCACATCGCTCACACGCCTCCATCATCACTCATTTTGCCACGTATGAACAGATGACATCAGCAGAAATATTTTTGGTTTTTGGCTTAAAAATATTTTATCTCCTAATTAAAAAAGCAAATTAAAAATCCGCTTTCACCATTAAAGCCGTCTCGACGAGATCTTCAAAACTAGACCCCATGTTGATATGTTTCGATGAAAATTTTCTTTGCCTAAAAGTTGCCATGATGTTTACACTGTAGTTGCCATGGTGCTTAAACTAAAGTTGCCATGTGGCAATATTACTTGTAGATCATGGCAATTTTAGTTTTTGACGATGGCAATTCCAGTATTTTGACCATGAAAATTTTTTTTTGCATGAACCATGACATTTTTAAGTGCATGTATCATGGCAATTTTAGTTTATGGTGCATGGCAAGTCTAGTTTCTTAATTCTCCGTTTTATAATATGTCAAAAAATTACTTTTTAATATAGAAGAAAATAGCTGAAACGTAACATGGCAACTTTAGTGTAAACATCATGGCAATTCATGTGCAATAGACATGGCAACTTTTAACAAAAAAAATCCATCGAAATATATTGATACGAGATCTAGTTTCGAAGATCTCGTTGTGAGGAATTTAATGGTGAAAACGGATCTTCAATCGGATTTTTTATTTAAGAGATAAAACATTTTAAAAACTGAAAATCCAAAAAGATTTCCACATGCATGCGGTGATACGGCGTAGTCTGTATGTTATAGGGCGTGTGGGCGGGTTTGGCTCCCACCACACGTGTGGGCATTAGCATTGTCCATAACTTATGTGGATACTACGTTTGCGAGTTCATTCGCCAGACGGCCTGTGAGACGGGTATATTTTTGGAAAACTTGAAGTATGTAAACAATATTCACAATTTTATTTTATTACCATCAATTGTGTTGATTTTCATATTGACCCCCTTCTTCAAATTAGATCGAACGAAAATGGGACCAACTCCTGCCAAAGGGTCGCATACGAGCAATTCAACAGGAATTGGCAGGATTCTTCCTTGATGAGGTCATATCACCAACCGGAGAATACCATCAGCAATTGATAGCGGATTTTGGTAATCAGATATTAGGGGGTGGTAAGAGATATTATATTGTATATATGCAAGAATGTGTACTATATGTAGTAGCATCGAATATATATACGAAAACTTGTTTTCGATCAAGCACGGAGAAAGAGGTCACTTCTCTATATTCATGATGATACTATGTAACGGTTCCTTCATTGCTATTAGTATCTAGCGTTGAGTTGAATGGAAAACATAAAACTGTGCACTGTGCACTCTGCTTCGTCGTGGCAGTGTCCGCCGAGCCAGCTATCGACGCCGGGGAGCGATAGAGAGGGGCTGGGAGGAAGAGGTCAAGGTAGCAGAAGGGTAGAGACACACGAGGGTGGCACGGGGTGGCCTCACGGGCAAGGCATAGAGGTGGCCGATGCGCAGACACTAGTAGAAAACAGGGCTTTAGTTCTAGCTTCGGTACTAACAAAAAAAAGGAAACACAAAATAAAACACCTAAACCCCTCCAAAACCATAAACCCCTCAAAACCCCTCAAAAACACGTGGGGCTCTTTAGTCCAGATTGGTGTTACCAACCGGGACTAAAGACCCTCCTGCCCGAGCGCTGCGCAGCGGTCACGCGAACCCCCTTTAGTCCCGGTTTGTAACACGACCGAGTCTAAAAGGTGGGGCCTTTAGTCCCGAAGTCTTAGTCCCGGTTGCACAACCGGAACTAAAGACCCTCTGGAACCAGGAGTAATGTCCTGTTTTCTACTAGTGCACATAAGGTTAAAACTTGGGTTTTTGCAAAAAAAAGTCAAAACCGAGTTTGAATGTCGAATAGGGCTGCCAAGTACTAACTATACCTTGTATTAATAGTTGTGGGACGAATGTTGTACCAAAAAAAGTTCAAGGACCAAAGCCACAGTTCTCTATAAGTCGAGGGACGAAACTGCACTTATCTCTTTAGAAATATAGCAGTATATTATTGCAAGGTTGTGCCTAGATGCTGGAAGATACTTAATTGTTGAGGTTGATGCTGAATTTTAGACACTGCCAGTTTAAGTTCAGTCATGGACGCTTCTGTTCAAATTTATACGCAAGACACAACAAACCTCAACTCAAGGATTGACATGTGTAGCTCAAGTATTCTAACAGCTGGTGATGTAAAATCCCATGCTCTGACATGTTTCTGGATGAAATGGTGTTTGTTACCCTTGATCTAGGCCTCAACTCTAAAAAGCTTTTATTCCTCTCTCTTGCCGAACCATTTTGTGTTCTCCAACACTATGCATAAAAAAGAATATGGCTCGTATTGATCAGGAGGATGTATACAAGACAAATTACACACCACTTTGTTTTTTACTAGTCACAGTACCTTCTTTTTGAATCAAGGTTACATAAGGGCATGGCCAATGATCTGCCCCAGACCTAGTGCCCATGTTTTACATAGGATCGAATGCCATGGTGGAGTTAAATCGGGCGCTCCGCAGAGCAAACGGGCTCTTGTAGAGGAGGCAAGCGCTCCATGTAAGAAGAAAGAGAAGAGAGAGGGGAAAAGGGGAAGAGAGAGAGAGAGAGAGAGAGAGAGAGAGAGAGAGAGAGAGGGAGGTATGCCCTGGGTGGAGGAAGAAGCAAATGCAGAGCAAATAATTGGGTTGGGGTCCACTCATGAGGTCACCTTATGCTGCCTCCTTTGGGTGAAGAAAAATGAAAATGACAGCCCCAGAACTTTTATATCTATCTAGAAGATGGGGGAGCACCATTTGGGTGCTTCCATTGCTCATGCCTTGAGTGTTAAGTACATCACTTTTAAACTTTATGATTCCTGAAAATTCCTAACAATCGGTCACATCTTGTTATGGAGCAAAGTAAACTCGATACTTCATGACCAACAAATCAGAATACCTACAGATAACATCTTTCAAAGATCGATTCTAAATTATTTTATGCACTCAAAGAAATTAGACACTTATCAATCCTTTAGGGCTCCATCGTTTAATGTTTCTTAGTCATGAAAGAGTCAAAGTACAACTCTCTGATTTGCCTTTTCTTCTGATCATCCGGCGCACCGAAACCATCCCCACCTTGGTAAATACAATGTGAGATTCGAGCCAAATTCACGCAAGTCTTGGCAAAAGATCTAGAAAATTGGCAGTGTTTGAATGCATCTTCGTTAATCGACTTCCAAGCTTTCATGGTAAGATCTTCCATGGCTTCGCGAGACTCTTGCTCATTGGAGCTGTTCTCTGACATGTGAATACATATTGATGATGGTGCATCCCCTCGGTCCAGCTCCGCCTATTAAATATCATGAGATATCTCATATAAAGATTCAATTTTGGTGATGAAATCAAGAGACTACAAAAAAGTCGGATAGATCGTGATTACAGAGTGGGTTGCAGAGTCGTTGCAGAGGCGAAGAACTAAGGACGCAGACTGAACTAATTTAGGGTAGCTTCCAACTTTAGCGAGAGACATTGGGGTAAGCTTTTCTTCCACGTGGAGCAGGGGAAACACATGTTGCAGCAACAATGGAGCAGAGGACGAAATTGATCCATTGTCAAGATACTCATGCAGTGTTGGTCTCTGGTTTCCATGGTGCCACTTTGCCTCCACCAGGAAAGACTCTGCCATGTCTCGCCACTACAAAATCACGTATAATTTGTTATGGTTCTTTAGTAAAACTATCTATTTCGTAATAGGAAGTTAATTGTGTATATGAACATACCGCTTTCTGAAGAAAATAACGAGCGTCACAACCATGTTGTTTAAACACATTTTCAGCCACCTCGGCGGATGTGTTGTACATGACGGAATAGAGTACTTGCATGTATTCTGGGAGCATTTCACTGGGTCTTTCTTCCCATCTAACAATAATAATAGAGATGCTCCATTTAATGTCAAACTTATGTATCTTTTATATATTACACATGCTACTCTATCACAAGATTATCACTTGAATCATGAGAAATGCAATGTTTCATATGGTTACCTTCCAATGGCGTCGGTGAAGAGGGCGAGTTCATCCAGAGTTCCATACACATCATAAACATCATCTAAGAGAACTATTAAATTAGCAACTTTAGCAAGCACTTCCCGACATGCTCCATCGTTTGGCCCCCAAACAATTCCGTTTGCACAATGGAAGCACTCCATGAGGCGATCCCGTGCGAACCCCAGTTTTTCACTTAGGGCTGTCCCCTTCCACCACCTACAATTAAGTAGGTCAATTTTCATTTTGCAATATTTGACGTAAGAATGTAACTACAATCAAAATTTTGCTAGACAATATAAGAGATATATATCTCCAACATTGTGCATCATAAGATGCACACAGCCCATCAACTATGTAAAGTAATTAACGGGGAATAATTTACATGTACGTTTCTTCATGCTCAATTACCTTGCCAATCTAGCGAGTTCTTCCTGGTTCACACTTTGCACATTGTTGAAGTCCACCTTTGCAAATCCAATGAGCAACAGGTCGGAATTGCTCTCATCTCTAGAGTAGTGATCTATGAACCATCTTGCTTCTAGTCTAGGAGACCTCCGGTGCAATGGAAGGTCCAAAGCATGGACCACACATTGGCGTAAGTGGTGATCCATGGATGACAAGTGCTCTCTGAGAGCTTTATTGGAAAATGCTCTAGCCTTGTCCAATGATTCCTCGCCTTCAAACGCAAGGTATGAAGCCTCGTAGAGCGAGAGGAGTCCCTTGACGTCGCCTGCCCGGTGCTTTAGATTTTTCAAAGATTCTATATACATATCGTTACCATGGAACTATATCAGTTAAGCATACAAATCTGTGTCAAACGCAAAAAGTTACAATTTTTCAAAGATTCTATATACATATTGTTACTGTAGATATACAATTGATTAATTTCCAATAAAAATCTGTTGCTTTAGTTTCCGCTCTTAAATCGTTCAAGTGTCCGTTTTTCACATTTCAAAATTTAACAAGGTACCTGGAGGGAAGAAGACAGGGAAACCACTGTCCCTGAGCAACCTGAACCTCAAGGCTGTGGAAGCAACATCACCATAATCCCAGCTGCACCGGTGAGGCTTTTGGTGGACGGACCTGAGGATACCAGCGATCTCCTCCTCGAAGTGGTAGGCGATGCCAAGCCGTTGCACCGTGTCGACAAGCCCGAGCATGGCAGTTTGGTGGCCGCCTCGGCTCGCCGCCACCAGCCGCTCCCTCACACCGGCCTTCAACTTATCGACCTGTGCCATCATCCATGCATGCACGGAGTAATTTCCATAAGTAGTTCATCTACTTTAAGTACTACTTGCAGGAAGAAAATACTACTGTATGTTCAGCTGATAAATGTACTTGATCTGCTTGTCCGCCATTGTTGGGCGAGAGTTGGAGGAGGGAGTCGTAATCCCAGGAGCTGGGAGCGTAGTTGGCAGATCGTCGAACGGCCGCCAAGCAGTGGACCATTGCCGGCGACGACATCTGGAAGCGTGTGCTCGTGGTGCCCATTGTTTGCTGTAATTGCCACGCCATGGTGGTGCGCGCTGCAATCTAGCTAGCTTTTGCTTGGTGAGTACTAGTGGAGTACTTCTTGGCACTTGGCAGCGAGAGCTTGGCAACGAGGTTAGTACTTCTATAAGCTGTAGTAGCAAATAAACTGACTGCTGTTTGTGGTTTGAGAGTAGCCAGAATAGATGCCAATTTATAGGCTAGCTACCAGGCACCCAGCAGCATACCTAGCTCAGCCCGCATGAAAATCGTGGGACATGAAGCATACCGAATTGGTAGTACTATTTCTTTTCAGCCACATATTGTTGTGGTGACTAGGGATGAGAGTATTTTGTGGTGATACTTCTTCTAGAGGCTGTTTTTTTACCCGCATACCCAGAGAAGGTAATACTTTTAGGTGCGACAAAATAACATTTTTCATGGCAAGTTGTGTTCGTCGAGTACGAAATGTTTAGTTGGCGAACATGGCAAATCCGCCTCATTTCATTTGTTGCCAGAAAATATTCGTGTTTGCAAACTAATTTTGCCATCCTCGCACCAGTATGAATTATGATGGAAATCGTTTCATTTGCCATGGCTAAAAATCTGACTTGGTTTTTTATAGCAAAATTCCATACAAACCACTGAGAACTTACTAATACTCGTATTCCCATACCATGGTGGAATTGTAATCACGGTGGAAAATACATAAAGGGACCAAATAAAAAAAGCATGGTTGGAGTTAAAATCCAACGGACCGGCGTGCTCCATCTTCAACTTCATGATGGATTGTTCTTCAACTTGCCAACATGAACAATTATTCCTCCCTCCCTCACTAGTAGAAAAAGCCCCATTTGTCGCGGTTCATAAAGCCCATTTGTCCCAGCTGCCGAACCGGGACTAAAGTGTCGGTACTAAAACCCAACACCTTTAGTCTCGGTTCGCCCACGAACCAGGACAGATGGGACTCCACGTGGCCGCTGCGGCTTGCCAGGCAGAAGGCTTCC